TGTGAAATTGATGAAATGTTTGTAAAAAATCTTGTGACTGCAAGTCATACCGACAATGACACCGTGACCCCAAGTCGTACTGACGATCACGCCGTGACCGCGAGTCAATTCGACAATCGCGCCGTGACCGCGAGTTATTTCAACGATCGCGCAGTGACCATGAGTCACAAGTTTCTATACCTGTAAATTGTTTCCAATTTGTTGGTTTTTATAATTCAGTGCCACTTAATGGTAAAAATTGATATTATTTGTCTTTTTTGTTAACTGCAATACTCAAAACTTTCAAAACAACCCTTCTTATGCACAGGAAAGAAATCCCGTCCCGTCCTGTCCCGAAAATTGGAAATAAAAATCCCGTCCCGCCCTGTCCTGAACTAAAATCTCAATCCCTTCCATTCCTATTTTTTTTTAAATTTGAGGTTTTGTCGCCCTGTGGAGTATTAGTTTTTTTTAATTGAGTTAAAATCTGTTATAACTGTAAACATCTATTTTTACTTAACCTTCACGATACATGTTACACATTACTTGAGGCTAGGCCTAGAGGGTGGCAACATGATCTTATAGCTAAACCCTTTGGTGATTGGCAGGGTACGAACCCGGGACCTCAGGGACGGAAACCCCACTAGACCAGCTCACTCCCCAGTAGAGCTTCAATAAAATAAAGTTTCAAATTGAATGATACGTTTATGTTGTTAGATAATACTGGTGAGAAGTGACTCGGCTGAAATGAATGACTCAATTGACACTAGTTGGGCTCTGTTTTCCAAATATCAAATGGCAATTCACAACGAGAAACCTAACGAATGTGACATGTCAACGTATACAGACTTTTTGGTTCAGACCCCTTTGAAGGTATGTTTGTCTGTCTGGCTTGATACTAATTTTTACTGTTAGCTTTAACAATTGTGTGATAAATGTGTATTGTGTGAATAAAGTATGTAGGCATTTTGTTTTCATGTCTTTACTGTAAGTATAAATGGTGTGGCTACTTTATAAAATACATATTTCCTTAAGTATTCTTCTTAAGTTCAGCAATGAAATAATGATTTATTAAGTTTTTAAACCAGAGTCTTATGAAATACACTGTTAAAGTAGTTTACACTACGATCGCGTAAAGATAGTGTTAACGACAAAGGTGTAAAAAAATTTAAGATACGAGCCTTGGCGAGTGCCCTAAGAACTTCTTCGAGTGTCGTTAAGACTATTTACGAGAGTTAAACTACTTTAACTATGGCACTTTTTTAATTACTAACAATCACTACTCATAGCTTCTAAGAGAGGTTATGTTTTCATTTTGCATGTAATCTAAACAGCTGATTAGTTTACGTTCGAAGCATTCCAATTTTACTTTGTCTCTCTCAATCCCCTAACCTCATTAGTCCGTTACCCGTGTTGTTTATTTTGTATGCGTGATTGCTTCCAAAAAACCTTCCCAGAACGATTAAATTTGCTCTTTATGGTAGCCTATGTCAAAAAACAAAACACAACACTGTTATTAAGCAACTGAGAGGTTTCTAAAAACAATTTGAAATAGCCCTATAACCTCTTAAAAAAACAATAAGGTTTTTTTGGTGCTAAACTTTTACCTTAGTTTAATTTAATTGATTGTTTATTACCTGATTTTCATTATTCTAATGTCAATTTAGTTACAGAAAAACATCAACAACTGCCTAAATCATCAATGTAAAAATAAACATTGGTTCTAAATGCTCATCCTTCTCTGTTACGTCACGCCTTCGATCTAGTCGCTAGAATTTTTGCTTGTGTGAACTGATATGTCGCCGGGCTGCTACAATTCTAGTCACAACCTAGTGACTTCCTAGTTAGCTAGATTTGTCGCTCGTGTGAACCGGGCCTTAACTTATGTCTTCATTTACATACATACACAAATACTCGCACTCATGATCTGTTTCAGCTTTGTGATTTTTTTGCAGCATTTAAATGATGATGGCTCAATACTGTATGTTTATATTTCAGCATATAAATAACTAATTTGGCCAGTTGATTACTTTTTTGTTGTGTGATGGCAGCCGTGGATGCCGAGAGATGGTCCTCCGCAAGGCTATGGATCGTTCCACCAGCAGTACTGGCTGGATGGTAGACTCATAGCTGTCGGAGTGTTGGATATCTTACCTTCGTGTGTGTCCTCGGTCTACTTCTTCTACGACCCGGAGTTCCATTTCCTTGTACTCGGCACTTACGGGTCTCTTAGGTAAATGTTGAAACTTTAATTATTTGGCTCGATTAGAAAAAATATTTCTAACAAAAGAATGAAAGAAACATTTTATTTACTAAACATATTATTAGATTTTTACTCTTAAATGTTAACTCTTTAAGATATTATAGTGTTTTGAAAAATCTCTTGATTTGTTTTAAGATAGTCGAATTATTGCGCACCCCAGGAAGTTGTTTTATTGATAGACCCTACAGATTCAGGCATCTGATGAATTGTTGTATTCCATCAGTTCCTCCACTGGAAGGTACTACCTTAACCACCTCTTATAGTTGTCCTTCTAGCCTCAGAGAACTGTTCACAATAAAGAGCAGGTGTTCGGCTAGTTCCTTTAACCTATCGCAATTCCTACAGACTGGTTTGCCATCATACAAGCCCAACAGTTGTAAATGTTTCCTAAACCGCCCATGTCTGGTAATCAGTTCTACTGTTAGTTTAATTCTTTACATATCCAGTCTCAAAAAGTCTGAAGCAACCCGTTTAGAAGGCGTATGTGGAGTGAGCTTGCTAACTCTTAGGAGGCGTTTCAACCCAATGTTTCTTGCACGTTTCAGGGGCCCCAATCATATTTGCCACTAACGCAACATTTGCCAGTCTGTCTGCGGCTTTGTTGCCTTCAATGCCTGAGTGTCCAGGCCCCAGCTAAGCGTAGAATCATTCCTCCTACCCTTCAGACACAGAGGCAAGACAGTCCCACCCGAGCTTTGAATAAATTTTGTATGAGTTGAAAGCTTTTATATCTTTGCTAAGATTTTCACTAGCACAAACCAAAATAGCAGTGACCTCCGCTTGAAAAACTGTCAGGTGCAATCTCATTGGAAGGCTAATACTTCCCAAGCAAACCGGCACCAGTCCCCCTTATCTGACCTTAGAACCATCAGTATAGCATTCTATATCACTTACCGTATGCCTCTTTCCACCAAGCTATACTTCCCTAGTTGGAAGAAGTACAGTTGGCTTGCGAAAGAAGTTTTTTTTTTACACATAAGGTCCGGAGGCATATCCAACATGCTAAAGTGTAATATTTTTTTATATTTTGTTGTCAGAGAGATAGCGTTCTGTCGGTCCCTCCACCACTCCGCCCCCAGTCTGAGGTACTACTACATGGGGTTCTACATCCACTCCTGTCCCAAGATGAGGTACAAGGGGGCATACTACCCCTCACTGCTACTGTGTCCTGAAGTCTACACCTGGCACCCGATAGAGTACTGCATCCCTCTGCTGGAGAAGAGCAAATACTCCAGGTACACAACATACCCTTGGTGTTCCCCATTGCTATACGATATATCAGGATTTTGCCGCAATTGTTGAAGTCGATGGTAATGTAAGCGAGGAGTTGGACTAGCCGAGGTCGGATTAGTGAGGTTCTACTGTATAGATACATTTACTTATTTGAAATAAAGACACAGCATAAGCAGGATAAGCAGGCTTACCTTACAAATTGTAGGCATCCCACTTTGCAAAAGTAACACTATAGAAAAATTTAATTCTTCGAAGTCACTGTCCCCTTTAAAAAAATTGTGAGTCACTAAATTCGGGAAGTCCTTCACTGGTGAAGCAGTGTTGCCAGCACAATATAAATTTACAAATGAATATGAAAGCTTACGTGGAATAGTAATTTCCACTCTACGCAATTTTTAGCCAGTTTGGTTGTGAAGAAAATTGTCTCAACAATGATCTCATGTTCTGCATGCGCACAAGCACTCTTTCCACCACCACGCTTAGGTTCAGTCATCTCCACAATAAATTACCCTTTAATTTAGTACTGCCAGCGTCTTGTAGTTTGACTCAGTATTGTTACCTTTCCCGAATCCTACATGCCATCCTGATTGACAAGATCTCTACTATTCTCCATTAACGTAAATAAAGAATATTGCCTATTGGAGATAAACCTGTTGTTGTCCAGGTTCAATGAGGACCCTAATGCCAAAGACACTGACCAAGTGGTGGACATTAACCTGGTGACAGTTTTGTATCACCACAGAGCCATGACCTACCATCAGTACATCTCTCTCAGTCCTTCCAACACACAGAAGGAGGAAGTGGAACAATACGCTAGCTTGGTGGGCAACAAACTCTCCCGCAAAATGCTGCTCCTCATCACATGAAAGCTTGCTTCTGGCGTACTTACAAAAATCACTTCCATATTGTCAAGTTTTCGAAAAAAGTTGTGTCGTTTCTATTAATTTATTAAAATATACTTTTGATTTTTTTTATTTTGTTCTTAGACTTGTTGAGTTTTTGAGACGTTACTGCTTTGTGATAATTGTTACTTGTGATGTATTCATACTGTAGGTTAATTAGGAATCAAATAAAGAAGTCAGTGTAAAATGTTAATTGAGTCAAACCAGAAAAAATTATCTTCATGCATATATTTTTTACATTTCTAGGTCTGATCTTTATTTGACTATTCCTCTCTGTCTTCTAATCTTCCTCCTCCATCTCACTCCTTTCTTCTCCACAACCTTCTTCAACTAATTTATCCCACCTGGCCTAGATCCACCTATCTTCTTATATTTCACCATCAACTTTATTTTGTAAGATTTCATTTTTTATTTTGTGAGCTGGTGGCTCAAGTGATGGTGTGAGGAAACTCGTAAACACCTTGGCAATATTTTGCTTTTTGGACCCTAGTGCTACTAGCTACTACTAAACTTTGTTAGTAGTCCTACTTATATTTGCATTTTAGCGACTTGCTCCTTGTTTTGATAGACATGAACCTGACAACAGTGTAAATAGAGGAACGCAAGGTAAAAGAGGCTGCCAATCTTTTTATAAAAAGTTTATTTTATTAATAGATAACAAAATGTGTTAATATTAAACCTTGGTCTACATAATGTCATATAACAGTTAAACCTAGGTCTACTTAACGTGTTTCATATATTTCAAACAAAAACAAAAAATATTCAGAATATTTTCCCCAAAAAATTATACTAATTAGTCTTGGTGAAGGTAATAACTTGTACAATATCCATTTTAGTATTTATTATTTCTTACTTTGACTAAGAATACTTACACTATTTATATATTTACAACTACATACTAAGAGATGTGGAAAGGAAGGGGTAAAACTTGTTCCAATTTCATGATTCATCAAGGTACTTGAGTATAGAATACTGAAACGACTGACTTGATAAATAAAAGTAGGGAAGTGTTCACCCCGGATGTGTACATATTCCAGTTTTCCTCAGCGGAGGAGTGAATTTCCTGTTGTGGGATCGTTGGAACATGTTATCTTCATGATCAAGATCTTCACGCTTGGCTACAGCTGGGCAATGACAAATTATGTGTTACATTTCATGTGGCGTTATGACATTTATCTACCAATTATCAATAGGTTTTCATTTTTAAACTTACTTCTTTGAACAGTCATGATTTATATATAACTTTTTACAGCCTAGTGATTAAAGTGTTCGTCTAATAATCATATTGTTGCCAGATAATATTTGGTTTATTTCTAGACTTCACCAAAAGCAAAAGTCATACTAACTAAAATGCTTCTAATAAGATTTATTTACATAGTCTCGACCACAACGTTAGAAAAGATCTGTCATAAATGTATGAAATGCCTTTGGTTTTGAACAAGTGCATGAAATGTAAATAAAAAGTGTAGGGTTGGCTAGAGAGAAGACCATGCAGTTTAAATAATTTTCATACTTTCAGAACCTTTTTACTATTTGTCATTCACTCTTTGTGTTGTATCAGGTTGACAGCAGTTTGCTCTCCTCAGCTTCATACACTTCAAGTGTTAGACGCTCACATCATATTGCTGTTCAAATCACATTTCAAATAACTTTAATTTAAAAATCTTAAAAGTTTACCTACCGAATTTTAATTTATAGTGACTCAAAGCTATCCTGAAAAAATGATGGGGGGGTTTTAGAAATTATACCTAACAAACAATGTTTAAAAAATCTTGAATCACAAAACTACCTATTTTAGTATTTTTAATGCATAATTACCACTGAAGGTTTGCAAGCAACATAAAGGAAAATAACCATAGAGAGTTTACAAGAGTTTTTTTGTGACTAATAAATAAAAACAGTTTTAAAAATTTAAAAGTTTGATATATGAGGATGCCCACAAGAATTCAGTTAAATTTTACTACTACTGTACTTACATATGACAGGGTGAAATCGGATAGTTCGTGGAGTTCCCTCGTTGTGAATACTCCCAACCGAGTTTGTGAATGATGGATTTTTGTAACCTAAAACAATGGTAGATTACTTACATACAATTTTACAGGTAAGTTATATAGTTGTTGAGGCTTCAATGGTTGATTTTGTATCTGATAATCTAGTTTGCTTGCTTGCTACAGGTAGGTTAAAAGTACAATTCTAAGAATGCTTTAAGATTCATGATTGGAATTTAAGTATCCTACAGCATATATAATGAATTAAGTAAATTTTAAAGTAAATGACAAGGTAACACATTACTACAACATGAAATACTGTACTGTATTTTTATTCCTCAAGCTTAATCATAGTTTTATATTACCCCATGTAATATGTCATCACTAATTTTTCACCACTGTGCCCTAGAAGGCTTGAGGCTTATTAAAAAATCCACAAACACAAATCAGTTGGGATAAAGTATTTCTGAACATCATCCACCGTACTGGGAAGGGGATTTTGTTGATAAGTGATGTTATTCTTGAATTGAGAATCATACATTTGACGTTCATCATTCTAGAACCAGAAGCTTGTAATAGCAAACTTTAAACTCAAGCTACGAATGTAGGAAACTAATGTACTTTAAATACCGTACTTTACATTGAAATGGCGACCATACGGATGTAGGTATTTTAAGCCAAGTATGAATTGAGATGAGTGGCGCGATCTTGTAGTCTTGTTAGCGACTGAGGCTGACTACTCCTTAAACACAGCTGTTAGTTAATAACGCATACAGCTAATGGTAACTTAGGGACCTACAGTTTATAGTGGAATTTGAATCACATTTTTGCCTTGTAATTAACAAATTTGTCTAATTATTAGGATAGTCGTAGTACTCATTAGTGCTGACGTTAATCCGCACCAGGGAGTATCGCATCCACAGTGCATTCCTATAAATATCCACAATTCATGACCCCCTAGTAGCTTAGCTGGACTACAGGACGACGCCAGTCTATGACTCCTAGTATAAAGGACTTAAGTCCCCGAGCTCATGGGTTCAAATCTTGCCAATCCCCATTGTCTTTTAGTTATGTTATACGCCACTACCCGCTAGTAGCATGATGTAACGTGTAAATGGTTCTGGGCTTAAGCCTAGTGTCCTAGGTTGTGAAAATGGGGCTTAAAATTATGGAAGTCATACGATGAAAGTCGTCCTTGGAAACGCACCATTCTCATTGCCCAAGTCAGTGTGGTTGGAGGCCATGTTGCTGGAAAGGGTGTTGACACTGAATGAGGCAGTTCTGTTATGAGCCATCACCAACTCCTTTGTGTTCTTCTCAGGAGTGAACACCACTATGTACAGCTTGGGGAGAAACAAACAGCCTAGCTGCACAAACCCACTGAAACAGTGCAATCCAGTATATGTCAGATAAATAACTGTGAACAGATATTTCTGAACTATTTCTAAAAATTTGCAGGATTTAAGAAATAAGGTCCTGTCCTCATCAAACCCTATAAAAGGTTTTGCCTGCTTAGTGCTTTCTATAACTCTTCTCACCTTATGAATGTATGACGTAAGCAGAAGTGTTTTAAATGTTCGTGTGTGTAAATGTGTTAAATGTGTGTGTGTTAAAATATTCACTTCATGAAACTTCACATTTAATTGTTACCATTCAATTAGTACGTCCTGTTTTGTTTAGTCCAATATTCGTCCAAAATACCCATAAGTAACTTAGTTACAGTAATTGTTGTGCAAGTTTGCCCTCCGCCTAAAATCAGCAAACTCCCACAAGATGGTTGGTTTACTAAACAAAAATCCACCCCGAAGGGTAAATTCAAAATTCTACTCTTCTATAACTTGCCATCTCACACAGAGGTGCCTGAAATAAGTAAGTTTCAAATACTTTAAACGATAATTCTGGCTTTCAGACAGCCAAAAATTATCCACAGCATGTTACATGCACTTGTTTGTAGAGGAAGGAACTAGATACTGATTTGCCATTACAAAGAAAATTTCTGCAGTATCCTTTAATCCTTAAAATCTAGTTTGAAAAAAGCATTGAAATATTTTTATAACACATAGGGTATACCTGAGAGACAAAGACATTGCTAAAGTGACAACTCTGATGGTGTAACTGGTGGAGGCAATGTACAATGGCACAAACGCCAACCAAATGATGATAGCAGTGTAGTTGGTGAAGCCTATGTGTCTCGCTTCATTGAACCCGTCAGGACACTTCCTTGTGAGAAAGGCGTAAACTGTACACACTCCTGGAACAGTTCAAACATGTAACTGGTAGAGGCAATGTACAATGGTACAAACGCCAACCAAATGATGATAGCAGTGTAGTTGGTGAAGCCTATGTGCCTCGCTTCATTGAACCCATCAGGACACTTTCTTGTGAGAAAGGCGTAAACTGTGCACACTCCTGGAATAGTTTAAACATTTCATTCAAATATGTAACTATAGAGGCAATGTACAATGGCACAAACGCCAACCAAATGATGATAGCAGTGTAGTTGGTGGAGCCTATGTGTCTCGCTTCATTGAACCCATCAGGACACTTCCTTGTGAGAAAGGCGTAAACTGTACACACTCCTGGAACAGTTCAAACATGTAACTGGTGGAGGCAATGTACAATGGTACAAACGCCAACCAAATGATGATAGCAGTGTAGTTGGTGAAGCCTATGTGCCTCGCTTCATTGAACCCATCAGGACACTTTCTTGTGAGAAAGGCGTAAACTGTGCACACTCCTGGAATAGTTTAAACATTTCCTGATGAATTAGGATTGAGATGGTTTCCAGTGGATAGATGGATTTTTAAATTGTCTAAAGGCTGTCTGAAAGGTGAAAGGTTTCTTTTAGACATGTTGCTAATTAAAAAAATAGAAAATTAATATATTATTTAAGGATCTTTTCTTTTAATTACCATTCTTGATCACTTTTCTGTTTCTTCCCTATAGTCTCATTTTTGTAATACTGTATGCATTTTCTCCCTCAGTTTTAATAATGTATGATGTGCATAAAACTGCTGATCAGTTTGGCCTGGTCTAAAGTTGGTGCATGGAAGAAATCGGAGATTGTTAGTTCATAACTTTGTTTAAACTGGCTACAACTTTAACATGGAAACGTGATGTCTACAGGCTGTATCATAACTTAAACCAAAGCAGCGCCTGGTAAATATTTTTTAACCAAACTCACCAAACAGAATTTTTAGCACAATTTTTAACACAAAAAATCATAGCTTTTTAGTATAGTAAAAATATACACATAGGAACGGAATGCCTACCTATTAGTACAAATGGGTAGGAGAGACCGATGAGGTAGGAAAAATCCCCCAAACCAGAGCAAACCCTCAGCCTAGACTCCCTGGTGGGGAAAATGTGGCTGACGAAAGGTGGATCATACAGGAACCATCCGATGTTGAGGAAGATCTGAACTGAAGTGAGAAGTGCTGTGATGAGCACCTGGGACTTGGGACTTATGCATCTAGAAACAGAATGAAAATATGGATGTTTAAAGAGTGAAAATATACACCTCAAGATGGAGTTGGTGATTCTGAAAATGTACCTTTTTATCTTGCAATCAATTCATCCAGATCCATCCTGTAAACCTACCAAAACCAGCCACATCCTTAAGTAAATGTTTAATACAGGGTGAGTCGGTAGCTCAGTCCGTAGCGCCACGGACTTCGGGCCCAAGGCAGCGATGTCGTAGCGGGCCCCTCTTATACTGTAACGGCTCACCCCTAGCGTTACAAGGTAAAAGAGGCCGCCACCCTCTTTAAACAGAGAGTTTAACTTGTACAATACCTTGTTCTGTGAAGATTACCCCCACTGTTGAATATCCTGGCGATTCGATTAGTCTTTGTAACAATTGCTGCGTAGCAAAGTGTAAATGAAAATCCGAGGAGGAATCTTGTGGCAACACAACTCGGAAAAGTAGGCGGGGCTACCATTATGTAGGTGAGGAAAAACTCCAGGAAAGTACCTGTAACATGTTTTCCTTTATTATAATATATATAGATTTATTGCACTGATTGCTCTTAAAATATGCAGTGGAGTAATTACATTAAGCGGCACAATTACATTAAGCGGCATCCCCCCGCCCCCCCAAAACATCACCACTTATGTTCTTTTCGTTTATCTCAGCAAAAGCCGTGATCACGGCAAAATACAAAAGTTCTCGCAGAAGTTTTTTAATCGCCTCCCTCGGTCATGGAAACATAGTCATCTTTTTTCTTTATCGCGGTGATATCTTAATATCTCCTGCGTTTATGTACACATGATCATTGTCTCCCGCGGTCATTGGAGTTGCGGGGGTGTTATTTACGCCACTGTAAATATGATAAACTTTGGTTAAATTCTAAGCGAGATCGTCTCCAGACAAAGAAGGGACTTGTCACTGGTTTATCAATTAATGATGCTAGCAATAGATCGACATTAGATAGTAACAATACTAGGTTTTTGACCATTCCCCCACAAGAACATTAAAATACCAAAGGGGTAATATACACAATAAATCATAGGAATGAACTGTAACAACTCACCAAACAAGAGCAGGTAGCTCAGTTCACGGCCAGAAGCCTTAACCACAGGAGTTTCTGCGTTTCTCCAGAAAATGTAGGATATTATAATTGTAACTGTTATTCCTAGAACATTGAATCATTTTATGTAGTGTATTTATCACACCGTAAATCATTTGAGTTATGACCAAATTTAACCTAATTGATTAATTATTCTCCTGGATCAGATAAAGAAAGCAAATTCAGATTTATGGATGTAAACGTAGAGCACAAGGGCCAATAGGATTTTTTGAGACAATAGTTGGCTTACCTGAAGGGCAAAGAGTCCAATTTGGCACAAGGAACACAATACTTTACGTGTACATATAGTTTAAAGTTTTGTGTTTCCTGTGCTAGTTTGGACTCTTTCCCATTCAGGTCTATCAGTCCATCCTGCTATCCTCACAAAAAATCCTAAAAATGAAGATTTATGTTTGGTAACCCTTGTGTGTGTTTTTATTTTCATGTAATTTAAAACTATTTTACATGCTTCAAACTTATTGGAGTAAACAGAGCAATATTATTAATCCACTTGTGTTTTAAGTGAGTTGTGCTTTTAAGCTTCTAGAGCTTTAATTTTCTCAGTCAAGCTAGCTAAAATCCATCCCTATACATAAAAGCTCTTTACAGTATAGATAGGGGTGTTTCTACCAATATTACCATAGTTAAAAAGAAATGCTTATTAAAATATTACCTACTGTGGCTACGATGAGGGCTGGAGTTGCCCATGGGTTTGTGTAGTTGATGAAATCTTCTGGGATCTCCACACAAACAGATTTGTTTCTAGAAGGCAAAAACCCCCGATCACACCCTTGGCAGTGAAAATCGTCAATTTTCCTCTCGTAAGGAGAACAATTTATACATGACCAACAGCATGTGTCGTCGTACTGAAATCAACGTACCAGTAAATAATGGTTGATATATTTAGAGTGTATTTATACTTAAGTTGGTGTAGTTTAAAATTTCCGAGGATGGGAAAGCTTATCAGGGTCGCGGAATAATATGGATCGCTTTATCCAGGTTCTTTGGAAAAAGCAGAGTGGTAACGCCGTTCCCAAACATTCCCGTTCTACTACAACCCTAATCATTAAAGCTTCCATGAAGACAATATAATCTTTTGCTCAGTTAGACTTTAATTTATTTTTTTACAAACACAATTGTTTTAGGGGATATTTACTATTTCATTATTAAAACTGTAAAGGAGTGAACTCTTGTACTAATTAATAAGGGAGCATTGTAGAAGCATAAAATTCCAATGCCAACTTGGCATTTCAAATGTGGGCCTTCTGCAGACTACTGTTCCAGTGTAAAAGCAAGTTATAACAACTATTTGTTTAAATAAAATATGATTTCCAACAAAATTTAAGACAAGCAACTACTATTCAAACCAAAAATAAATCACTTGAATTACCTCTCTTATTCGAATTTGCAGATCATCACAAGTTTGTGTGCATCTTGAAGATGGAAAATCTTTTAATTCTCGACTGAATCTTATTCGCTTGCTGTCTAGAAACAACTTGGGTGATCCGTATTCATCCACTTCAACATAAAATATAAAGTTAGATAACAATAAAATAACAAAAATGTACTGATTTAATCAATTAGTAATTTTAAAAAATGGGGAAAAATCTACTAGTGTAATTATTTGGAAAGCATGGCTTGTCTGGTGATTAGAGCGTGGTATGGTTAGATCATTGTATGGTTAGGGTGTTGTACTGGGTAAAGGTTACTTAAGGTCATGGTTTGGATTCTGCTAAACACCAAAGACTTAGGTATGTGATATACTCTATAATGTCGTAACGATGGTTTAAAACCTACCGAATACTGTAACGCCACCAATCTAGAAAATAGTTCATCTTGGCAAGAAGATCTCTCTCTGCATTAAAGAACTCTATAGTAAGCATAAAAGTCATACACTTAAAAAATATTAATAGAAATATTTTCTATTGGTATTTCTACATAGCTTTTAAAAATGTGGTAGATCAAAACAATAAATATTTGTCTGTAAATGTTTACGTATTATGTATGCTTACAAGTGTAGTTGCCCACAATCTGCCACTGGAATGCGTTTACATCAGTTCTCTGAAAGTTCAAGATTGAGTAACGGGGTGGTCCATCCCGACCCTTTAGAAACCGGAATGGGTTTCCTTTCTCATCTGAGAAAATAGTAAACACAACATTAGTAATTTAAAAATGGACAAACAATTCTTATTCACTTTTGTAGTACCCAAAAAAGAAACAACCAATGGTCTATAGTAAAACAGGTGTAAATCTGTTAATGAAATTCCTTAAAACTCCTGTGCTCCATCTCACAAGATAAAAATGTTCTATGTTGCCATTGAAATTCCATGCTCAGCTGAAATTGGTTTCATTTTCAGTCAGTCAGAAAAAACACGACTTCTTAGAAGAGTAAAAAATTTTGATGAAAGACCTCATGAGCATAATAACTCTCCTAACTATCGGCACTATCACAATGTGCCAATTATACATATTACCGTAACGAAACATTCCACATAGTGTGTAGACTTTTAATAATAGCTAGTTTGTTATCTGAACTACCTTTAAAAGTGACATTCCTGATGTATTCAACGACTTGGCTGTTCTCTATGTGACTCATGTTGGCACAAAGACCAGGCAATCCACCACACTTGTCTCTGAAGCAGTTAGAAAATCATACACATTAGGATGTAATTACATTTTATCAAACAATAAGGTAACCTTCCATCATTTTAACCATCATTTTGGTGTTTGAAGCTGTACCATTGACTATATAGTCAGGAGCAACACTATCTATCTAATTCATTCAACACTCATCCATAACCATAATATACACACCCTCTGGTGTGTCGTGGTATTGGTCTTGAATCTAATCTATTAGCAGCTAGTTGACATTACCTGTGCATGTTGTGTAGAGCTGTCGCTACTGCGTAGACAGCGTCCCTCACAAAGTGTAGACAGGAATGTTGTTGGAAACCCTTATCTTCTGTGATTGTCAAGTCCACAGTGCTGCAGTCTTGAGAGCTCTAGGAACAAAACCACATCCTAATGGAAGTGTAAAGTTATATCTACAACTATTCTTAATGTTTGGCTAGATAGTAGTCTTATAACACTCAGGCCCGTTTTTGATCCTGTCAGCGCCCTAGGCACAACTAACAGTAGCGCCCCTTTGCAATATATATATAACAGGGTGTCCACCAACCGGGAAATCCGGGAATCATGCGGGAGTTTTTTGAACCGGGAATTATGTCTGAATTTTGTATTTCTACCTAGAGTTTTCAATTTATCGCGATCGCACATGACAACATCAGTGATGTTTCCGTGACCGCAGGAGACGATAATATGTCTACACACGGCCGCGAGGGATGATCAGAATATTACCACGATCACGGAATACAATGATAATGTCCACACGACCGCGGGAAACAGCAAGAATTTTGCCACGATTGCAGAAGACGATGATGATGTCCACACAACTGCGGGACATGATTAACATTTTGCCGCAATCGCGGGAGATGATTTCCATGTATTCACGACCACGGGAGACTGTTACAATGTCTACAGGACTGCGGGAGATATAATAATGATTTTTACACGGCCGTGAGGGATGATCAGAATTATGCCACGATCGCGCAAGACAATGATAATGTCCACATGACCGTGGGAAAAATTTTGCCTCATTCGTGGAAGACAATGATTACCATTTTTCCACAATCGCGGGAGACAATTACAATGTATTCACGACTACGGGAGACGATTACAATGTCTTCACGACTACGGGAGACGATTACGATGTCTTCACGACTACGGGAGACGATTACGATGTCTACAGGACCGCGGGAAATACGATATTGATTTATACACGGCCGTGAGGGATGATCAGATATTGCCGCGATCACGGAAAACGATGATAATTTTGATAATGGCCAAACTGTCGCGGGAAAAGGTCGGAACTTTGCCTAATTTGCGGAAGAGGATGATGATCCCCACAAGACCGAGGGAGATAATTACCATTTTGCCACAATCGCGGGAGGCGATTACTTTGTCCACAAGACCGCAGGGGACGATATAATGATGTCTTCACGGCCGCGAAGGGTGGTCAGAATTTGACCGCGATCGCGCAAGACGAGGATAATGTCCTCACGACCGCTGGATATGCTTATGTATTGCCTCGATCATGGAAGACGATAATTATGTCTAAACGACCCGACCACGGAAAATAGTAAGAATCTTGCCGCAAACGCGGGAGACTATTACGATGTCTACACGGCCGCGAGGGATTATCAGAAGTTTACCGTGATCGCATTCAAACACCAATTTTTTTTATTTACCAAATTGTTGGCGCCCCCCAAAAAAACCAATTGCCTCGCGCCCTAGGCACGTGCCTACCGTGCCTATTCGGTAAATCGGCCCTGATAACACTGTACTTGTCTAATAAGGTATAGGAAAAACATGTGTGGAGGTGGCATCTGGCAGAGGTATGCATGTGACACACTATAGGCCTGAGAGAAAATTGTGGCCCCTTCCCCCGTCATTACGGGCAAATTTTTATCTTCCTTGGCCCCAAACAAACCTACAACCTCTTGTGCCCACTATAGCGGCCCTGGACTACATGATACCACCATGACTAAAAATGTGGGTTATGATAACCCGGAAGGAAAAAAATATTCTTGATAGGTCCAGATGTAAGGGTCAGGATCACCCCTGAAGTAGCCTCAGTCGGAGAATACTAAAGAATTAAAATTGACTAGTCAACAACCAGAATTAGTAATTACCGAGCCATAGAATTCCAGTTCACATTAATTTGAATAAGTGATGACAAAATACGTCATTACCAAAACACTAAGTGATATGCTATAACATAGGAGCAATAGAATTTCAAATTTTGCAAATTTAATTTTTTTTAATTGTTTTTTGTATGTTTTTGTTTGTTGTTTGTATGCAAACAAATGTTTTATGTATGTTTCAAATTTCATCAATATGTAACTATACATGACACATTATTTTGTAGGATATCAGTTTTTTTTCTAAACAAGCTAGGTGAGAAACTTTGTGTTCAATTGAACTATAAAATATTAAGAAAGTTATCACTAAATAATAACATATAAACAAAAGAACATAAACCTAATGTTTTTTTATTTTTTATTAATTACTAAGAACTAATACAATAAACATAAATAATGAATAAAGAATTTATACATGATTTTTGTTCAGTTTTTTGAAAGAGTGATTTATAGACACCAAATTATTTGTACGAAAATGAAAATTTTATAAATATGAATTTGTTTCAGAGTCAATGCTACCAAGAGGGTGCATGTATGGATGTTTATTTCTTGTAACTTTTTACAAACGAGACTTACCTCAGACACATTTGGATCTGACTGGTTGTAGAAAGAACAGTGGAAGAACGCCTCCAAGTATTCTTTAAACCACGGATTCACCTTCTCATGGTTTTCCACAGTCAAGCCGGCAAGATACTCATCAAACCCTTCCAAATGACTTGCTAGAGGCTGTATGGCTAAAGCTCCTTCCAGGACTTCGTGGCTTTCCAAGTCATCTGTAACGAGTGATAAGTTTAATGAAAAAAATATTTCCCTCATAATAATATTTTTAAAATTAAACATTGAAACATCATTCTCCGCTCTTAAAGTAAGTTTCCACCTTTACGGGATACTCACTATTTATTTATTTATTTATATTAGCAATAATTGATTCAAAAGAAAATCAACACTCTCGTATGACTAGAGTTCTGTGATTAATTCTTTGTCATATAAGTGCTCAATACATGATCAAATGTATCACAAGTAGACAATGTCTGTGGGAAAAAGTTTTTGGATGAAATAATGTGTTTAAGTGGTTTTTAATAGTTGGCTGAAGAACATACAACTGCATGACTAGACCAAAATGCAGTTGTTTATCGATTTTGGACAAGTCATTGAAAAAGCTAAAAGAAATTAGGCTTTCGGACCACTATGTTTGAATGTAGGAATGATTGGTGTGGAGACATAAGACTGCCATGGACAACATTAAACCATGGTATATATTCAAACATGCCAATCAACTACAAAAGTATCTCAATCTTCCCTCAAACATAATTAACTTTTCACCCATAACATACATGCAGTTATTTTATCAATGAAACACCAATTATATTCGATTATATTAGTAGATAATATTATATGCAATAATAAACCTCCAAAAGCACCATTTTGAAACTACTTATTTAACTTTACAATAAAGATTTGCACAGTCAGCATGTGAGCTTTAGAATTGGAACAAAGCACCAATTATTTTTGAAGAAATTTAGTACCTAAATAAATTAAGTACAGTCACTACTAGTTGCATGCTATTAGGTAGTGCTATTTCAACACAAATCTTTTTAAGATTATTAAACAATAATTTTTTTTTAATTACCCTTTTTAAGCACTAAGTTAAAATTTTGTTTAGAAACAAATAAAAAAACTGAGAATCAAAATTGTTAACTTGAAGCAGCTGATTACCTTTAGTTAACTGCCGATTACGGTGATTAGGACGATTGACAGTACCCAAAGAATCCTCTAGAGCTAAGAGAAAAAGATTAACTCTATTAGTTTTTTTACTAAAATGTGTTTTTCTCTTGAAAAATTATTAATTTTTAAAATTATTGCTGTGTTATACAGTAAAAACGGATCATTGACAATACAACATGTATTTAACCTTTTTATTTGCAAATTTAAATACTCGTTAAATACGTTTAAATACATGTTACTACCAACATTTGAGTACTTCTTTTATGAACAGAAATATTTGTTGGTATATGATAGACGCCATAGAGTTGTGAAATATTACGTACAGATTGTAAGGAAAGGGAATTTTCTCTTAAAAATTAAAAAAAGATTATTTTACACCAAGTTATTTCCCAAGTTCAAACCCCTGAAGCACTTTCATTTCTGAAATTAAAACAATCTAGATTACAAGACAATCTACCACTGGCCCCATAACAAGCATGCAAAAGCACATTTCCCAAGGCAGTTCAAGAATATAGATTATACATTTGCTATTGAGAGTTATTAGTTCTGCGGCATTATATGATCATTTGTCATTAATATAGATAATAAATCAGAGGTGAGTTCTATGAATAATATATACTTTCTGTGTACAAACATGCAGACAGACAGGAAATCATTTTTGACCCAGGTTTATACAATGTTTTTTATTGTTTTGTTTTAAGGAACAAAATACACAGACTGTATGCACCAGTTTGTATGCACCCTGTATAATATACGTAGACTTTAATGTCAAAAGTATTTTATTAAGTAATTACTGCTTTATAAAACAAAATATTATATTGTTTTACCTCACAATTAATTGAGTCGCTAGCTTGAACAACATCATAATAATTGGTGACCAATTATTATGATGTTGTTCTGGTGATCATTTTAGATAAATCTTAGGGTTATGTATATACAATGGGTTATTGTTTTTATATGAAAATTTTATTTCAGAGAGACACATCTCTAAGCCACCCAATGTGAACTGAATGAACAGATTAAAAAACAAAAAGGGCAAAATTGTAATAAAATCTGCGCTGCAATAGGGTAAAATCCTGGTCTTAGGCCTATCACTGACATATTTAGATGGAGTGAAAATAATTTTAACTGACGGATTAGATTAACACTTGCATTTGCTACACATAAAGTTGATAATACTCACTTGAGGACACTGGAAGATGATGATCCCTGTGATCCGTGACTGTCCAACCATGAGAGCCCACCCAGACAAACCGGTTGTCCACCTTCATCCTCCTGGTTGACTCTACCAACCGCAACACAACCGTCGGCTTCTCAGCAAACACAACCACAACTACGAGGCCAAACAAACAGTGGTTACTCTTGATCAAACATTGAATGAGGAAAAGTTGTTGTTTCTTTCTGCAAGGTGACTTTGCAGAAAAAGAATGAACGATGTAAGAAAAAGAATGAAAGATTTAAGATTGAAAGATTGACTGAATTATTTTCAGGTACCTTTAGCGTGAGAGTTGTTAGCGAGTCGCTCTACAATGCGGTCGTAGTCCAAGTCACTGAAGTGCTCCTTACTCACACGCAGAGGAGTAGAGAAGCAAACACCGTAGGTTGGAGCCAGCTGTTGTAGAGTCTCGTAGCCTTGGTTGCCGTACTCGCTGTCTGAGTAGACGATGGATACATACGTCCAGTTGAACCTTCTGGGAAACATGTTCAACTATATGAAGAAGTATCATACTCAGGGTTTCTTGTGAAGGAAATCTACCATTTAGTGTACTATTCCTATTGGGTTGATTTAGTTCTCAACTAACATGAAATAACTCACTTATTCGGTTTCACTAATAGTATGAGACATTTTTTAAAATTTGGTTTTCTACCATCCTATGGGCTACATTGTATACAATACAATCTAAATTTGATAAAGTGTATTTTTGCTGCTAAGAGAATTCATGTGAAGCTATCCATCTAATCTTCTCCCTCTAGTCAGTGTAGGGTTTACTCTGCAGGTGGAAGAACAGTCTATGGCAAAACAATTTTTACCAAGATTTATTGTATTTTGTCTTGTAATCCCACATCAATGTAGACTCTATTATGGTCGTCAGGGTACCGTGCCACATCACTAACAAGATGTGCTAATGTTTTGGCTGAAAGCCATTTTTAGAGTAATAACAGAAGACTATTGTTTTATAAGATGACAGCACTGTGTAAGGAGAGCAAAATGTCAGAACACTATGTTCATGAACTGACACAAGTCTAGTTAGTCTGAAGACTTTGATAGTGTTACTAAGTGTGACTGCAGAAGCATTTTCTTCTAAGATCAATATTGATTGTTTGTTCCTAAAAAAAAATTAAAAATAATTATTGAAGACTAATGTTACACACACCTTATCAGTTCCAGCATGGCGTTGGCCTGGTTGACATCGCTGGGGACTGTGCGGAAGAAGGTGGGAAAGCGGTCTGGGTTGCTGAGGGCCGGTGATGTCGCCATGTAGCTGACTATTGGTGTCTTGAACAGCCTCAGCATCGTAGCTATCTGGGAAAGGAGAAATAATGGTTTTAAATTGACCTGCAAGCTCAAACTTTTCAACTAAAAATTACCTTAAATGTTAAGTCATCTTTAATAAATGACAGTACGAATTGGACTAGTCTAGATTCCTACCTGCATGGTAACAGCACTTGATTGTTCGCCTAGCAGAGCCACGACTTTATCGAAATTACCTCCTCTGTACATTGGAGCTGTATTGTCTTCACAGACAAACTCTTTAGGGTGGTCAGTGTGGTACTCATTGGCATTGAAATGAGCTATGAAGCCTGAAAATAAATTGCATCGTCATTTGAACAAATAAATATACTAAACAGTTCCAGGATTTTATCGCAAAGATTCTTTTTGGATTGATACTTTGCTACAAATAATATTCTTGAGTGTGGCAGATTGCGTGAAAATATAATAATAATATCTAAGTTCTTACCGTCAACGCAATCAGGAGTAATATTCGACTACGGCCGTTTCGGAGATGACTCCATCGTCAGGTGCGTAGTGGTACACTAAACTATAGTCTTGTCACATTTAACACGAGTTTTCTTCATTTGCATTGCGTCATGGGGAGAATAAATAATACACATATATGTACAGGACGGACACACGAAAACACGAATACACGAAAACATTTAGAGCACGTGCACGGCTTGAAAACTGACGACCGACTCAAAGAGTCGGAGAAGAAAACTCGTGTTAAATGTGACAAGACTATAGTTTAGTGTACCACTACGCACCTGACGATGGAGTCATCTCCGAAACGGCCGTAGTGGAATATTACTCCTGATTGCGTTGACGGTAAGAACTTAGATATTATTATTATACAAATAATAGATTCACCTTGTTTAAGAACACTAACCCGTGAGACCTATTATGTACCACTTTTTGGAACTTTTTCCTTAAAGAAATCTAATTTGTTTAGGCTGCGGAAGAAGATCAAAAGATTCTACTTTATAAAAAATCCAAAACGACAGAATTTTAGTAAGAAACTTGGCTCAACGATGACTGCATATTAATCCTCCTTTATCACCTAAATCCTTATAGATGATCTCTCCTGGTAATTATATCCTTGAGATATCTTTCAATTGTAAAAGCCATTCTCAGAACTTTTAGTTTATTTCAGAAGAGTTCAGAACAGTCTAGAGCAAAAATTTAGCAAAGTCTTACATCTCGTTTTAGAATTTCCATAAAAGACTATACCTTGGTCAGTTGACTACCAGGAAGATGGCCTGTCCTTGAATACTTGGCCCATTCAAGTTCTATTCTCTAAAAATTTCATTACCCGTGTATTTACCTTTTATGAAGTCCAGTGACTGCTCCAAAGCGTAGGCTGGACTATCACAAGTGTCATAAGCTATCACTCCAAGTTTTACTCCAGGAAGGAGTTCCTCATTTTCATTGATTTCATTAACTATAAACAGCATAGCTTCCAACATTTGCAGTCCTTCTTCTACCTACAACACAAAACATGTTTGTCTCGCTGTTGAGGTACCAATAATTCAAGTATTTAAATTACCGTAAAACAAGATGATAAGCAAATCAGTGAACATATCAAAAACATTTATTAAAATTCTTACCCACTGATTTACATAAGAAATTTGTGAATTAATTATAAGCATGCTTTCATTGTAAAAAATGATTACTTTAATATTCATTCTGAACGTTTTTAATCTTTTTTTAGGTTTGAAATTATTTTCTTATGCTGTTACTCAAAGCTAGGGGGTTCAGGGTCTGCCACTATGACTCTATGGTTAATGTTTCAATATTAATTTAAGAAAAGGATTAGCAATTCCTTTTGTTGGTAAAACAATTTGATACCGTACTTAAAAGTAGTGTAGTTGACCCAAGAAAAGAGATACAAATGATTAATGATATCGCACAATTATTTATGTTTCAGTTCGACCCTTCGAGGGGCTTTTCCAGAAGGAATTAGTGGAAGAAGTCAACTGTCTTGAACTTTTATCTTAGACAAGTAAGTTGTGAATGTATTCTTTCTTCCTTACGCTGTCCAGGCCAATTATTTTTTACTCAAAAAATCAACCAACAATTCAACGATTTACAAGTCAAAGTAGGTCTAATGCTAATTTTCACCAAACAACAGTTTTTCTATATAAAACAATGGTTTACATAGTAAAATACAGTGCTAAAGAAGAGAAGTACCCCAACAAAAGACTCTAGAGCTGTGAAACTTACAATGAGGTTTCATAACTATTTTACCTGTATACCTCCACACTCTGTGACGCCCCTGCCGTTGCCGTGGACAGGAAACAGCCCTCCCAGCATGATGTCCCCAGAGGTGTTGAGGTAGGTGTACCTAGCGAGGACAGCCACGGGGCAACCGGAGGTCAGGAAGAGGAGAAGCGTTAGAGTCATCTCTAGAAAGAGATTTCACGGTCAGAAACTGGAGTCCAGAAATAAAGCTCAAACTGTCTCACATCAACTTTGACAGCCTCTCTGCCTGAGTCTCGTATCGCGTAACGGGATTAATTGATGCAGTAAGTGGCGGGCTTCATCACAAAGTGTTTGGTTTATAAACTGCTATGAGTCATTTTTTAAATACAAAATCAAATTAATAAATTGGGTAGATGTAATGTAACATAATTCTCTGTAGAAACATGAATAGCTACTGTACACAGTATATAAAGTTTTAAATACAAAATTTTTATTGGGATATTTTATTGTGATTCATAATACCATTTGTAAATGATTGCTCATTTGCTGCTATTGAGGAGCAATACATGTGAGAATTAAAATGCAATTATACCATTTACATAAAATTTATTTGATGTTGGTTTGACACAGACAATGCTAAACCCATAATGAAATTATTTTCTGAAGGATACATTTTTAACAATTAACAAGCAAAACAAATACAAATTTTAAGCAAACAAATTTATGTATTTTTAAAAATAAAATAATTTCTGCTCTTCGTAATATTTTTTACTGTAACTTCACCTAGGGAAAACATTACAAAGTTAGATAACAAATGTATATAGAACTAAAATGTATATGTAAGTACAAAACGTGTAAATGGCTATGAGCGTAAATGAGCTATGAGCCATATTATGTTTTACGAATTTAAAATACATTAGATTAGAATCTCCAAGTGCGTCTCAACAATGGAATCATACCAATATTAATGGCAGGCAAGAATAACTGACAAGCTGATGAAGAAGAAGAAGCTAGTTATGCATGTAGTACAAGAGTCATAACATGATCAGCAAACAGAAAATGACCGCAGACAGGCAATAAAGGGTCCATTGGTCGTTATTGGAAGGTCACATTCACCGGGCAGTGTTTTTAGTGTTCGTTTGGGTAAAAATATCTCTCAAAACAAAAAAGCGGTGGTAAAAATCTCACCATATAAATACAACTTTTTACATTTATGATTATTTGATTTTATTTTAATCAGTTTATAAGCAAACATATTTTAAATACACTTTTTTGAAACTAATTCAATCTTATCGGCAATTATTGCAAGCAAATGACCCACAAAGTTAAAAAATCTTGACGGCCAAGACAATTAGCCTAAATTTATTGCATTTTAAACTCTGTGACTACCAGGCCAGCATTACACGAGGATTGCCCAACTCCGCGCAGTGGTCAAATTTAATCCGAGGAAAAGTTTTATGGCCCCCGAAGGGTTCAGCCCAACTCCGCGCGGTGGTCACTTTTAGTGTCAAGTCCAACTCCGCGCGGTGGCCACTCCTAATATCTACGGTAGTTGTTTTGGTAAAGTTTTTACAAAACAAAGGCTACAGCATATTTGCATGGACGTGAGTTGAAGTTTCCAAAAACGTTGCTGCTGTTATTACAATAATACCCCCGCCGCAGCAAAACTGCAGACTAAGCGAACTTCTAATTGCCTGATTGCATTACCAGTAAAATATCTCTTTCAAAATATTGGTACTATTTATTCCCTATTTAAATAGCATTAGTTTAATGAGTACACATAGGTTTGCTGCAAGAGGCAGGGTAGTAAGTGTTTTTGTTAAATGTCAATAGTTAAGTGTAAAATAAATGCATTTCCAAATTTAATCAAAATACACTCCTTTAACAGGAAAATACAACAATTTACTTATTCTCCATACGAATAACATAGAAATTATAAAATTAAAATTTGTTGGAATTTTTTATGTAACTATTATGGCGCATAATAACACTTTGATATACTAAATTATTTTCTTTAAGCTCTACAAATTGCTTTCAAAAGAAATTGCAAAAATTTATTCTTTTAGGGTCAAAGTTGGGAAAACTCGACTTTTTTCACCATAAACCCCAGTTTTCATGGTCCGATCGTGCAGGTCCGTGAACTCGTTCAAATAAATGTAGGTTTAACGTTCAAACCAAATTTATTTTTGCTCGAATTATCGTGCTAACGGGCATTTATATATATCAATCATATATATGAATTCGAACGGATGATGTTTTCGGCCTTTGGGACATTAAATCAGTGGGTCCAGGTCTTACCATAATACCTACGGTAATAACTTATTCCCTGTATGGGAAATTCGCTAAAACGTTGGTCTGGGTCTGGCTTCAATGAAAATCCTCTTCATGGACGTCAAATTCGCCATTTAATAGGACGAAAAAATAAATATTTTAGCTTATTATACAAGTAAAATTATAGATTCACAACTGGAGGTGAAACTTAAAAACCACTTAAGAAGTTCAAAAAGTCCGTCCGAAGAGTGGATACGTATGAAAGTTTCTGAAATTCACAGTTCACAATTATTTAATAATACATTTTATTAACGATTTCATGAGTTTTACGTTACACTTCTGTGCTGCGATCACTAATTTTACCTTTTTATGGCAGCAATATACTGCAAATTTGCTGTAACCTCTTTTTTTGTAAAAAAGTTTGCTCTGCATCTTAAAGTGGCTACAATGGACTTTTTAATGAATAACAAAACTTAACAATGAATAACAAAAAATAACAAATAATCTCTTCCAATAACATTTTTCACAAAGGAAACATTTTAAAATTCTTTTTGTAATCAATAAAGAATACGTTTGTTTTTGAGGTTTGCCAATAATGTGATTTAGTTTTTCTGGAAAATTAATAAGATATTACTTACCGGTTGTGATTTTTAAAATATTTACGATTGTAAAATGTTTTACTAAGATTAATATTGCTTCGCATTTTAAAGCTTATAATTATTGTTTAACTATATGACTTTAAATTTATCATGGTTTGAAATAAGTGTAACTTTTGTAAATTTGTATATATTTTACTTATACAATTTTAGTAGGCTAATAATTTGTATTTTATTTTTAGTCCAGATATTTAAATGGATTGTTCTTTTTTTGTTGTTGTTTGTTTTGTAAATAATATACACGATGTTTATGTTAACGATGATTAATTTGATGTAAATCTGTGTTATATGATTATTATTAATGTTTGATAAAAACCACCAATTTTGGCTCACTTACCCTGGAATTTTGAACATTTTGTGCGTAGAGTACCTAGTTAAATATAAATATAAAGTCAATTTTGAAGTCTGAAGTTTTATTAAAATTCCTATACTGCTTTAAATATTGGTATAATTTTGTGTTGCAGGTCATAAAAACATAGAAGTTTGTCGGCCATTTTTTCCAATTTGAGGAGTGTAGTTAACTGTTGTATGATTACAGCTAATTTGTTATAGCAATCTGCGGTTGTATACAAAAGTAATATTTTTGAACTTGGTACTAAAGTTCAGAGAGCTCATAAGCCCAGTAATATGAATGATTGACTATTGTAGAATTTGGAACGTATAAATTCACACGTCAGTCACTCATTCTCACGGACTTTTAAAAACTTCTTATATTAGTAGTTTTTAAGCTTCATCTCCTGTTTTAGGTATATATCATCCCTTTTCCTTTCCTATAAATGATAAACATAACATAAAGTATAACACAATTTCAAAGTTCAAACACCAACTCTCCACCGTCAGGGCTGTGAGAGCCGAAATTGACCACTGCGCGGAGTTGGACATGTGCCGCGAGGGATCTGAAGTGACCACTGCGCGGAGTTGGACAGTCGGTTTTGACAGATTTCTGACCACTGCGCGGAGTTGGGATAAGCCCCATTACACATCTTTGATTGGCTCCATTTCACAGAAATATATAACATTTTGTTAAAAAAATTACTTTGAAAAGTTCCTTGGGGTTGCTGTAGTAATGTGGCAAATTTGAACGGAAATAAATAAAGTATATGGCTTGAAGTGAGGAGAAATTTTGGGTCGGTAGGAGTTGGGATTTCATTTTTATTTCTGTTTGGCAAATTAGTGGCAGCCTGAGATTCAGTGGATGTCTCTAGGTGCATCTTTGTGGTTCTCAGTGTGGCGTTTTTTCTTTTTTCTGCAGACTCATTATAAAGGTTGGCAACGTTTTCTAATTGGAACATTTTTTTATTGGGTTATTAGTACAAAACACATAATATATGAACAGTAGTTATGTCTTAATTAACATTGTTACATCAAATTAATACTGTGTCTCAAAGAAGGATAGGAAAATCTAAAGATATTTTGCGAAGATAGGTGTCAAAGAAAGTAGGGTTTTGATTGCACTATTTCCAATATTAAATTATTCTCATAACATCCAAATAATAACTAGATATCTCGGCCAAATTGTGTTATAGATCGGAGAAAGGTGTCAAAAACTATAAAAACACTACAATAAACTAGTAGTTTAAATATTTTATTTTACCACCATTACTACTGTTATTTTTTTAATATAAGTTTTTCAAGTTAAGTAAGGTGTACGCCATTATGATTGTAGAATAAGGTGACCAGATGTGTAAGGTTAGTGAAGGTAATTCATTGAAGATCTGTCCAAGGTCTGGCCAATTGTTGAGGTCAGGTCAAGTCAACACAATTTCAATCAGAGAATGATTAAAGTAGTGCAAGAGAATATCTATCTTGTTTTGCAATAGAATAACTTTTATGGTTTTTAGCATAATTTTACTCAGCCTCGTGGCAAGTACAATGTTTCATTTTTGGGCTCCTTATTAAAAGTATATTTATTAATTTTATACAACTGTGAAATTAAATTGCAAACCATTGCTTGTTTAGCCGTCATATAAATAGTAGTGTGGGCCAGAAGTTTTGCAAATTTCAAAAACACTAGTGATGTAGCATATACAAAGAAGTATAGTTTTATTTTGTCCAAAATGTCTAGTTGATTGGAATAGTTTTGCTATCACTTTTGTTGGAAATTGGAGATGCTCTTTGAAATTATTTTGTTATATACACAAAACCAAAAACATTATACGTGAGATTGTCTGAAAGAGCTCACGCATGCTTACATATTATTCTTATGTTACATATTATTCATTTGCCATATTACTCCAGGGGTTTATACAAAGGGTGGAGGCTGCCAGGGGTAGC